GGTCTTTAGAGAGGGACATCATGCTGGGTAGAGTAGAGGCACAGCGCAAAGGGGAAGACCCTCTATAAGGTGGATTGATTCAGTGACTGGGGTAATCGGGATGGGTGTGTCAGAGGCAATGAGATTGGCCCAGGACAGAGTATGATTTAGGGCTGTTGTACATAGGGTCGCTATGAGTCGCAAATGACTCGACGGCACATAACAACAACAACAACAACAAGAAGTTGTATAGCATTGCAATTATGTGAGATTAAGAGAAAAACTTTGAGTCCTTTTCACAATTTTAACACTATGAATTCACCTACAGAATTCAGGTATCTGAATTTCTCAAATGAGAATAATAAAATCAGATTTTCAAATATTTGTTAAAATTTATTAAGAACTTGAAACATGCAACTGACTAAATGGTCATGCATCTCTGGCAGTTCAAATCTACCAGCAACTCAGACAGAGTAAGATGGGCAGCCTTGAAAATGTGATGGAAGATTGTGGTAAGTCAGAACCAATTCAATGACAGAGCCTATGGGAGCAATAACCACTAGCAGTCACAGAGAACCAGAGACCTGACATGAGATGGAGCAGAAGTTGGGGTTGCTACATCATTAAACATGAGCTAAGAGCCTTTAGTCCAAGTTTGCTAGAGAACCATGGGGGACGGGAACAGAGCAGGACTGAGAACTTTGTAGCACTGGCTGAGGTGTCCTCATTGAGCACATTTCAGAAACTGTCCTGATTTTATTCTGATACTAACTTGTATTACAGCCGTTTGACTCCCACCAATACAGTCTGTGTAGTCTGTGAGCTGCTATCACATGGGATTTTGGACACAGTAATGCAGGAAGATTGGTGTTGAGATGAGTAAAAAGAGGTTTGAGAGGCTGATGGACATGTCAGAACTCATAGGAATTGGTTTTGTGTCGTTGATGCTGTTAGCGGGGACAGATTCCTTTCTGAAGTTAGTAAAGATCAGATATGGCCATCCACACTCAGCCCTTGCTCTTTTTACAGAACCGTTAAGTTGAAATGGAGCCTTCCAGCAGGTTTTCAGAAGCAGTAAATCACACAGGCAGGGAGTGCCTATCTTTCTCCTAGTGAGTGGGTGAGTTTGAACCACAATCCTTTAGGTTGGCAGCATGACTCCTTATTATTAAGTTACCATAGCTCCCTGCTAAAGAGTAAGGGTGTAATTTTAAAGACTACGGCTAGTATGCCTAGCTCAAGCCATAGTATCTTCAATTGCTTCATATGCAAGGGAGGCCTCATGGCCTAGTCCATAGGGAGCGGCACTGGTAACCCACCAGTGGCATCACAGAAGGATGGGCAATATCCTCCCATGTAAATTACACCCTCCACTGAGGGTCAGCTCTTAGTCTGATTCAAAAGCAATGAGTGGAGTCATATGGATGTTGCACGATGAATACGGAAGTGTAAAAAACAATTGATGTCTTTGAATTTTGGTGTTGGTAAAGAATGTTGGGCAAATAACAGACTATAAAAAGAACAAATAAATTTGGCTTGGGGGAGAAGCAACAAGAATGCTCCTTAGACACAGACATGCATATACTTTGGACATGTTGTCAGAAGGTGCTAGTCCCTGGAGAAACACATGATGTTTGGTAGAGTGATGGTGGCTGTAAAGTCCTATCAAGTCGACTATGACTTAGAGGGAGCCTAGGAACAACAGATCTGAATCTTGCTCTATCCTCAGCTCCCCTCAATATATGCTCAAGTTCATTGTGTAGTCACTGTATCAATCCATTCAGTTAAGAGTTTTCCTCGCTTTTACTGACTCTCAACTTCTCCCAGTATGTCTCTCCCCAAGGACTAGTTCCTCCTGAAAATATGCCTAAAGTAAGCGAGACAAAGTTTCACCATCTTGGCCTCTAAGGAACATTCTGGCAACACTTCCTTCAAGACAGATTTATTTCAGATACTCTTTGCCAACCATACAATTAAACGCATCTATATGCTTATCCTGTTTATTAATTGTCCAACTTTCAGAGGCAAGCAAAGCAACTAAAAATACTAAGGCTTGAATCAGGCACATCTTAGTTTAAAACTGACACACTTTTCTTTAGAACAACAGATAGGTCCTTACCGGCCCATTTCCCCACGGCAACACGTTTTTTATTTCTTGACTGCTGCGACCAAGGGTGAAAGCTGTGCATCCAAGTGAATGATACTGTTGACAACTTCAATCAAAAGACTAAAATTGTCAGGTTGGTAGAGTGAAGGAGGAGTGCAAAGGAGGAAAATTCTCAATGAGAAGGATTGATCAAGTGGCTGCAATAGTGAGCTTAAGTATAGTTGAGAATGTGGCTTAGGGTGAAGGAAGCATTGCCCCATCTGTTGCACAAAGGGCTGCTATACTGCAGAATCATTTTAAAATATCTGACTAACAAAAAGGTGTTGAGGCTAAATCTTTCTAGTATCAACATCAACAGAGAGCAAGATGCTTTTCAACATCAAACACAGTACTAGAAATAGATAATCAAGAGATATGAAAGTAAGGGGGGAGAAAATGTAATTTGAAAGAAGACAACACAGGATTATAACTAAGTTTTAGTGTAGAGGTATTCTGAGGAAGAATTTCAGTAAGGAAGTTGATTTTGACATTATGAAAAAACTGTTTCCTCTTTTAATGAAATGAACTCCGTATTCAGGCATCACACCCAAAGCCTTTTGAATATGAAATCTGACTACCTCCTTTGTGATCCCAGAAAGAAAGTGCTCTCTTCGGCAGCACATATACTAAAATTGGAACGATACAGAGAAGATTAGCATGGCCCCTGCGCAAGGATGACATGCAAATTTGTGAAGCGTTCCATATTTTCTTTCAGTTGGAAAATTTGTATGCCATAATCAGCCAGTGTATTTATCAACATCGTAGGGACTATGACAAAACAACACTTACTCAGAAAATGGAGCAAGAAGTAAAAAACTTCAATCGTTTCAGATCATGATTATGTCTTCATGGAAGTCTTAAATTCTACCTGTTCAGTTCCTATTTTAATTCACTTTTGATAAAATCCTACCTTCATCTTTGAGTAAAAGTTTAACAGAATAAAAATTATTTAAGCTTCTCTGGTCTTCATGTACATGTGTAAGATAAAAAAAAAAAGAAAGAAAGAAAAGTGGTCTAGATAAGCGTAAATGACTTTCACTTACATTAACATGTCACATACACTTCTTCAGCATTTTTTTCTTAAATAGAATCATTTCTTTAAATTTGTATTTCTGCAATGAATGGAGTGTCTCACCTGCCCGGCGACAGCAGTGAAGTACGTCCACATGGGATTATCAGCTGAAAAATAGCCTTCTGAGTACGTCACATATGCAGGATACCCGCTCAGGTACATGTACGGACCTGCTCCTGGAGCAGGCTGTCCCATTCCGGGCATTGGACCACCAAAATCTCCAAACTATAAGAACAAAAAAAGGAGGTCATTAATTAACTAACATTATCTATTATTTGCGAGTTTTGCTTACAAAGAAAAAATATTTATAAGAAATGTACTGAAAATTAATAGTTGAGATTGTCACCAAAGCTTCTAAACTATAACAAAAGTGTTTTCATATATTAAGACATGATTTAATTAAGAAACATATTTTATCCTGTAGTCAACTTTAATTTTTAAAGAAATACAAAAGAAAAAAAAGTCTCTAAACCTCCAAAAACGTTATATTAACAGACCAGGAGGCATAAATTTTAAAACAATTTACCATTCTCATCATCATTAAAGTAAACAACAAATTTGAAAAATAGAAGAAAATGTCACCTTGTTGATGGGATGGCTTGCAAACAGAAACTCTTCTCCCATTAACAAGAGCAATCTAAGAGATTAGAATTTTTTCTAGATAAAGTATTTATTAAAAGAGGGAAGAAAAAGTTAACTTCAAGAACCAAGAAATAGAGTAGCAAGAAAGTATTCACACTGTGGCTCTGTGAGCAGAAAAAACCTGCAGGATTAAAAAGGAATCTAGGTTATTTAATCATAAAGAGAAGTTAGAGCATTGAAGGAAATGGGTTCACGAAAAGTGCAGATAGGAGAATTAAATGCACACGCTTCTAGTCCTTTAAAATGGAATCTGCTGCAGAGACCTCCAAGTTAGGGACATCACTTATTGTGGAATAGAGCACATGCACTTCAACAGTATCCTCGGGTTCAAATCCTTCCCTCAGTTGTTAGTTTGTTCAAAGCAGAACAGCGCTCTGCTATGAGTGGTATTTCTGTGCATGTTCCAGAATAGGTTTGGGAGGCTATAAGTTTTAATGGCAAGAGACTGTCTCTCATCAGCAAAAGAGCTAGTGGATTGGAACTACCTTTCTGTTAGCAGCACAAGTCACCATGTCACCAGAGCTCATATACAGAGCAAACCTGTAAAGTCTATTATATTCAAAGGTTCCTCAAACAAACAGAAACATTGAAATATTATTGTTGTAAATTTTATGCTAAAGATGCTTTAGTATATCTGGGAGTATTTTTTATTATTTTTTGAATGTATAGAAAGGTCATATACTTTTCATTAGAGTAACATCTGTCTGCGTTTACATATGAACTGTACCTAATTGTTCCAACTAACATATAAATGTGACTTAAAAGCAGATTTCAGAACAGAATCTGTTTGTTCATAATCTTAGGACTACCTCTAATTAACTACCATAAGCATGTTGTTGTTATGCCAGCAGAGTCAGAACCAACCCATAGCTGACACTCCAGCAGGTTTTCCCACCCAGGAGTTGACTGTCCATTTGTCTCAGGCAGAGCAGTAGGTGGGTTTGAACCATGTACCTTTCAGTTGGCAGTGCAATTCCTTACCACTAAGCCACCAAAATGTTATTTTTTTGCAAGGCTAAAAATCACACAGTATATTGTTGTTTTTGTTGCTGTGTTCTAATCAAGTCAGAACTGACCCATAACTGATCCTTCAGGGGGCTTTCATAGGCAGGATATTTATTATACAGAGGGAGGCTGTCCATTTTTTCTCTCACGGAGCAGCTAGGTCTATTTTAACCACACACCTCTGCTTTGGATGGAAAATTTCTTAACATTAAACCACAAGCACTTCCTACACAGCCTTTTCAATGTGCTAATGGCAAGAAGCTGTACTGCAACCCCAAAGGCACTAGGTTTGAATCCATCAGCTGCTCCCCGAGAAAAGGACAGGCAATCTCCTCCAGTGCGATTAACTGCTTCCCAAAACCTGCAGGAGGGTCAGCTGTGGGTTGGTTCCAACTAGACAGCTTACTACTTGGACAGAAATACATCATACTTTATTCTTTAAAAAAAAAAACTAAAACTCCAGAAGACCATAGGTAGAAAAGAGGGCTCACTCAGCATAAGTATTATCAGTACAAAAATGTTGAAAGAGCTGTGTGTATTTAAACAGTCAAAAGTCACTTCTGTCAAGTTGGAACCAATTCATAATTCACCTTCCATGGGTTTTCCAAGGCTGTAAATCAAATGGGAGATTTCCCCAGAAGAGCTGCTAGTGGATTCAAACTGGCTGAGAAGAATGGCCTTCTTCCTAGCGGGGCAGCCTCTACAGACTACATGGCCAGAACTCCTGATATAAACAGAACAGAGTATGTTCATGTTCAAAATATATTCACAGAATTCTCCATTAATTGCAAGAAATGATTTGCAAAAATGGCAGCAAAAGAGAGGCAAAATATTTGTAAATTTGCCATAATTCTCTTCACCCTACAAATGTGTGTGAGTGCATGTGCGTGTGTTCACATATATGAACGAGTGAGTGAATAAAAATGTTCTGGTGACTTAGTGCATAACCCCTCAAGCTGTCAACTAGAAAGGCTGGTGTTTCAAATTACTTTGTAGAAGTTGCCTCCCTTAAGGATTTAAAGACTGGGAAACAGACGCAGGGTCAGAACTAATGCCACAGTATAAACAGAAATGTCAGAACATCCTAAAAGGAGTAAAAATAGTACATATCTAACAGCAACCTTCACCCTGATGAAAATATGTAGAAAGCAGGGAAATCTTTCAAGTCCTAGAAATGTATGATATCTAGATTAAACACTGAAGCCATTACTAGTACATTTAAGGATGAATGAGGGGTAAATATTGTAAAATAGACATGCCAGTAGGAACTTAAAGCACATAATTTTCAGTAAAATGAAAGATAGGAATGCATATACCAAGGGACTGGAAATGTATACCCCTAATTTTAAAAAGCACATTCTCACATATATTCCCAACGATGGGTATAATTTGCGTGAAGATCACTGCTATATGCCAATACCAATTGTAAATGAATGTTAGTAAGATGCAAGTTCTTTTAAGGTTAAAACAACTATAAATTAAAAAAGAAAATCCATACTCACAGTCCACTATATCAATCATTCCATACTCTATGAACAAAAAATATGCTTACTCAATTTTGGAGATCACTGACAAATACTAAAGTATTAGTTTGCTTTTCTAAAAATGAAGTGCTAGCCAACAGGATTCCATAATTAACAAACTTCACAACTCTCAGAGATGATAGAAAGTGACTAATCAGTTTGTGCTATAGTATAACCAAAAAATGGATTACGCGGATTTAAAAAAAACCAAAACCAAACATATTAAAAACCCAATCAGGGAATATATTCACTTAATTCACACATAAGCAATTCAAAGAACATAAAATAAGAAGTGTGAGGGGGCGGAATGAAGAAAGGGAATGTCAAGCAAAAACTTGGTAGGGTATTGGTGGACCACAAAAGATAGATGGAATAACAAAAAAAGGGTGCTTTATTCCTCCATTCGGAATTTCTAAAATCACATCACACTACTTAGAAGCTGTCAAGGTCCAACACCTTCAGATTTTCCCCAATAAGTATCCATCTGTCCACTGTCGCGGCTCTTGGTACTGTCAGAAAGTCCCCAAAACATCAAGTGCCCAAGACAGATCAGAGGCAGATCAAGGAAGGGGCAGAGGGCAGGCTCTGCACGTTGGCACCGCCCACAGGGGCGTCACACTCTAGGGGGGCGGAAGGCGAGGTAATGCGGCCTGGACTCACCCCTGTTCCGTATCCTGGGTAGGCCATGACGAGTCCAGCAGCGTTCCCCTGCAAGACAGCGACAACCTCGTTGGGAGGAAGGGGAAGGTGCAGATTCAGGATAAACCGATATTACCTGCCTACAGCACACACTGAACTTCCCCGACCCGCCTACTACAGAGCGCAGCCCCGCCTTTCTCAGATACGATTGGCTGTGTCTAGAGCCGCACCTTCAAAGCCCGCCTCCTCCCATAACTCAGCCCCTCCCTTTCGATTGGGATTGGCTACAACACGCCCGTCCCTCGGAACCTTCTCTTTATCGGTGATTAGCCGTGCCCTTGTAGGTTTCTATTGGCTTATTGGCTTCATTGTGCTCATTAGTCTACAGTCCCTTATTGGCTGGCTCAGATCTCGTGCGTTTTCCTCACTAAACGTGATGAAATCCTTGCCGCGGTGAATTCCTATCTTGTTGGCAAAACCTTTCAGGGTATTACTGAAGAAGTTACTCTCCTGCTAGTCGTGTACACTGGGTAGTGTATCTGTCACAGTATTGAAACTTCCAGACTGTAAACACACTTATACAGCAAAGCGGAGTTATCCACTGTGATAAAATCCTGATGCTACAGAAATATGCCATTTCTTTGGTAGATAAATTAGTAAGAAAGATTGCCATATGTGACAAGTAAAAAAAAATGTTATCTAGTTAAGTTTTATTTTTAAGTGAATAACGAATAATTTAATACTATATATAAATGGATGCCTGAAGGGGGTGTAACCAAGTTGCTCCTTGGAAGCAAGCATTTTGAGGCACAGTCTGATCTACTCTGGGCATATTACCCGGAGTGACCGGTCCTTGGAGAAGGACTTCATTTTTGGAAGGGTGGAGGGACAGCGCAGCAGAGGAAGACCTCGATGAGGTGTATTGACACAGTGTCTGGGATGATAGAGATAGCAGTGTCAGTGAGATAGACTGACTCAAGATAAGGCAGGGTTCAGATATATTGTGCTTACAGGTTGCTAAGAGTCAGTCGAAAGCATATAACAACAACTACAACATGCCTGTGCAATAATTGGGACGTAATAGTTGTAAGGAGTTGCACCGCCAACCGGAAGGTGCACGCTTGGAATCCACTAACTGCTTTCCAGGAGAAAGATAAGTAATGTCCTGTGATTTACAGCCTCTGAGTTGATTCTAAGGCAGTGGTACACAACAAGGTTTATCTGAATGTCACATTTAAATGAGTGTCCTCATTTCATCTGACAACTTCACCAGTAAGTCATCCATTAGGCAAACTCCTCAGATGCACATGTTGATTAAAGCCACAGAAAGGACTAGCCTGGTTTTTGGTTGGTTTTATTTTTTGTGGGGTTTTAGAGGGGAAGAGGTGTTTGTTGGTTGGTTGGTAACGAAACTTAAATGCTCAATTATTTTGGTTGCAAATGACTATTAATAAACTAAATCACACTCAATGCTGTCAAATGGATTTCAATTTATAGAACCTTCCATCCGTTTCCAAGGCTATATATACATCTTTATAGAAAGAAGCAGCTGACTTAAAGCAAGACCTTAGCAAATTACACACTTCTTCTGTTTTCCTTTGGGAATGAGTTGAATTACGTAGCCCTGTCTTGGGATGAATGTAGGAAAATAGATAAGTCAGAAGTTAAAACAGAACATGAAAAAGAAGTCGCTTTTTGTAGAATAAGACAGGCTAAAATGTTTCTTTAAAATTAAGCAAAGTGTTAAATGCTTACTAGTAAAAGAAACTTTGCAGAGCTGAGTAACCTTACATATTACAGTGCAGCAATCAGTTAAGCATTGTGAAACCTAATGCTGGCAGAGTAAGGCCGAGAAAAGGAAGACTGCAAAGAAGTAAACCACTCTTGAGAAAGTGTTAGTTCCTTTAACATCATAAGAAGTATTTTAGCCAAGAAAATTAATATTGGCATTGTTACATGCAGTGAATACCCAGGTAGGTTTGTCTTCCTTTGCTTGATGATTTGTGCTAGATAAAGGACAACAGAAAGATTGGCCGAGGATGAATCCCCTGGCTTAAGTTTTGCTATGCTTTGATCAAAAGTAATAAACATGGCATGAGTTAAGCCTATGCAAGCGCTTGTGGTTGAAGGAGCCTGTGTGGAGTTTATTGGGAAAGCTACATCTCCAAGCATGAGAGGAGTCTCTCTGAGGAGCAGAGGTGGAAGAAGGCACATGACTAAGCATGATGTCTCTTATTATAGTCACTGAGTCTTTAGTTTGATATCATTCCCAGCTTAAGTCTAGGTCAGTGGGATGAAGTGATGAGCTGTTTCTGGGGTGATGTAGTGGTAATTCTGGTCTGTTGCTCCTGACAACACTCATGTACCTGAAATACTGATTAGGTTGCTTGACTGGTAGGAAGTGGATGCAGGGAGGGCAGCCTTTACCATGAATAACATAATTGAGGCCCTATGTCTCTTCTCTCCCTTTCTCAGCCTAATTCTAATGGCATCACGACAGGCAAGAAAACAATAAACTCTGCTCCCATCCCCAATATTTATTTCATAATAGTTTTAAAAGGAGAAGTGTGCTTTTAGTCTAGGCTGAGAGTTTTGAAGAAAACGTCATTATCAAGTTTAAAGCCTTTCTATAATCATTGTGGTTTGCCTCAACCCTGTAATCAATAGCATCACTGCTGTGTTTGTTGATGTTGTGTACTGACCCACAGTGGACTTTAAGGCAGGTTTTAAGAGGCAGTAATTGAATTGGAGGAGATTGCCCGTCCTTCTTGCAGGGGAGCAACTGGAGGATTTGAACCAAATGCCTTCAGTATTGCAACATAGCTTCTTACCACTAGACCACCAAAGCTCCCTCAAAAAAGTCATTGTTCTAACAAAGTTGTTGATAGGTCCCATAAAGTTGAATACTACTCATACTGACTCTATGAACAAGAGATCTGAACCCCTGAACCCTGTCCTATCTTGCCCCATCATTATCATCCCCCATATCCCACCCCTCCACACATTTGAGAAGATTGCTGCAGACACCATAGTGAGGTTCTCCACGTGAAGTGCCATTTCAAGATGGCTGTTCTCTAAAACTTCATGCAGAAGTCAGCCACATGGCATCTACTCTCAGCAGAGTCAAAGGTTAAGAAAGAACTCCTGTAGGAGGTGCCTAGACTACTAATAATATGGTGTGGTCCTGAATCTTAAAAGATGTGGTCTTTTCATTTACTTGCTACACATCTAGAAGTTGGACAGTGACTAAGGATTACTGGAGAAGAATCGATGACTTTGAGTTATGATGCTGTAGAAGAGTACCGACTATCTCTTGGACTGCCAAAAAAACAAACAGGTATGTCTTGCAGAATGTGCAACCAGGGTGCTCATTGGCAGCACGAATGGTGAAGGCTCACATACTTTGGGCATGTTGTCTATAGGGACCAGTCCTTGGAAAAGGACATCTCACTTGGAAAGGTGGAGGATCAGCATAGAAGAGTAAGAGTCTCAACACGATGGATTTACATGGTGATTTTAACAATAGCTTAAGTTTACTGGGGAAAGTAAGAGTGGCAGGGTATGGCAAAGGAAACTCTAAGAAGGAGATCAATCAGAACTGGTTTTGACAAAGACTGTGGCTGTGCTGCTTCCTGAAATATTTCTGTATTGACAAATTCTTTTGTACAGAGTATGGTGACTATGTATTCCCTGAATCTGTCTTGTGGTTTGTTTGTTTTTTTATTCTTCCAGGATCATTCAAGATTTTTCCTATAGCTTTTGCTCAGTACTAAAGCACCACCTTTAAAGCCACACACACGCTTCTGGAATTTGCAGAATCATGCGTACTCTGGATCATCTAGATCATGCACACATGCTTCCAACTAGCCCCAGAAAACACTTGTTGGCATCCATTGTGAAAGAACAATAGCACGTGTGCTTAATTATCTTAGTCTTTTCCACGTGAGCCAATCCCAGATGATCTACCCTCTTTTCATGAATATACAATCATGATCATTTCCTTTTCACAAATTACCTCTTATAGCTCAGTCCTCTCCATGAATAAACATGATATCATTTCCTAGCCTCCAGAATCTTGAAGAGGATCACATCCTCCTTTGTTAAGTAAATCCTGGATTATGGTAATTCCACTTCTCCCTTTATAAAGTATTTTTTCTAATAAACCTTTTTCTTTGCTTTTACAGAAGAGCCTAAACCCCTGATTTGCTGTTCTTATTTAACAGGAAAAAGAATCTAAGGAGTGCAGTGGAGACTTTCCTTGGTGACTACATTTAGGGAGTAGTTCAGCTACTGCATAAATAAATACATGAGGTGATGGTGGTGGTTATTAGGTACCCTTGGGTCAATTATATGGGGAAAGTGACAAAATATACTTTGTTTCAAAAAAGTGACTCATTAAATCATCAAAAAACAAAAAAGATTCTAAAACAAAACAAATGACTGAAAAATTTTATTCAAATTTGTTAACTACATATTTAAAGTTGTACAGAAATGATCAACATATTGCATTCCTGCAAGACTAATTCTGGGGTCAGGATTTTAGCACATGTTCTGTTCATCCTTATAGCCTTATTTATGAGAAAATATTTGCGTATGTCACAACTAGATTTTCAGAGTCTTGGAATATCTACTTTTAAAGATAAGGATCATAAACCCATTGGAAGAAATATATTTGTCTTCCAGGATAATAAAGATAATGTCTCCCTCTAGGGAAGAGTTTGGATAGGATTGGTAGCAGGCTGGATGAAACACTGACAATTCCTAATCTCAGCCTCCCTGCTCAGAATCCACCTGACTGCTCTCCATCACCTATGGGACTTGGGGGCAAAAGGACGGGAAAACTGCTCACACTGTTAACCTGTGAAATAAATCCTTTGTCTCTAACCTGAGACTCTCATACATTCTATAAAATTGTGGCAAGCTAACTTGCTAGCTTTAGGTAGGGTAAGATCACAGCTCTGTCATGGTCCTTTTTGAAAATGCTCTATTTTCTTAGAGAAAGAGCTATCCAGAAAAGTTGCTGATGCTGAAGATACAGGAGTGGAAAT